CTGTTGGGCAACACACAGTCGGTGACAAACGGTGTATTGGTGGTGGGGTGGGGAGGAGAGCAGGGAGGGGGTTGGGTTCATCGTGCGAGACGAAGAAAGATTTGGAACGTTATTCTAACGTGTTTTTTATATGCAAATCACATTCGTGTCGTCCAGTACACAACAGGAAACAGAGCTGCTCATCTCTGCCGTCTGGTCACAAGATCCTTAACACCCACCTGAACAGAGCACAGACGGGTCGCTCTCTTTTTAGTAACCTTTCGTCTGATAAATCGGGGCTCTTTCCTCGTTCCCCCCTCCCCCGTCACTGCACTGGAGTATCAAGTGGAGTGACTGTATATTTTTCGGGTGAATCGCGGCAGCCAATTGCGCTCAGCAGTGTCCCGCGAACAGACGTGGATTGAGTGACTAAATTATTACGATTTTTGGAGGGATTATTACCCCCAGAAAGCGATCCGGCAATTGACTAACAACCGGGTTCCTACTTACTGCTGGGTAAACAGAGGCGTGTGGAGTAAGGAAACTTGGCCAACGTTTCGCCCTTCCAGGGACACACATAACACACTGACACACACACCCCTTCGCCCTTAGTCGCTCCCCAGTACTGAGCTGAAAAGTCAAAAGATGCATCAATCCACTATCATGTCAGAGGTGAGAGCGGAGCCAGACTCAGACCCACACGGTGAGACTGCCCAATGCCTGGAACCTGACTGACAGACTGATTAGTTGATTGACTGACTGATTCTTTCCTTTCAGGGCAGGTTTGAAATAACCTTTCTTTTTGAAAAAAAAGCTCTAGGGTAAGGTGATAGTAACGGAAATCCTTCTGACCTTTGTATCGGGCGTTGCATTTTGTTTTGCGGATGGTGACAATTTTTTAAAAATTATTTGTTACAACGTGCGTGACTGTGCTTTCCTTTTCAGCTTCGAATTTCACTTATCTCCTGAAAATATCACACATGTTAACCAACATCCCCTCCCTCACACCCTCCCTCACCGAGCCAGAATGTCTCCTGAGTTACACTGTCCATCACGGCTGACGCAGGAGCAACACTGGGATCCGAACCGCTCTCAAGGTTCCAGCGACCTTATAAAAATCGCTCTTGCGGTTTATAGCGTCGTCAGAACCTCCGACTGTTGTCAGGACGCTAATGACATATCCCCAAACACAGGCGCAGAAGGTGAGGACTGTAAGTAACCAGTGATAATATAATGATAATCCTCGCTCGTTCCCCACGCCCCTCTCCAACGCTACGCCGGGCTGCAACTGAGGTAGTCCGACACCCGACAGACCGCAAACTCCTGATCAGACAATAATCTTCCTAATTATAATTAAATGAGAACACGAGTGCACCCGTGTGAGTAGCACACTGGTGCCTCCTGGTGGAAAGATAAGGGAGGACCTGTAGGCTGTGAAGGGCTGGAGAACTTGCAACCAATCTCCCACCTCCCCAGACATTCCCCACGGAATTCCAGCCGGGCCTCAGCCCGCGAGGATATTTCTGACTCAACTTTTCAGAATTGTGGAGAATTCTCCGTTCCAGCCATACCTCGCAAAGTAACCGACCTTCCACTGGATTCAAGGATTCACTGGGGCCAAGTGCACCATGTTTGGAATCTCAGTAGTTACCCCCAACGCACACTCTGGAGTTCCCAAGCCTCGGTTCTTGCCAACCTGCGCATAATACTTTCCGGGATTAGGTAAGCAAGATGCATCCCTCCAGGGAGAGAGAGAGAGAGGGAGGGAGGGAGGGAGGGGGGGGAGAGAAAGAAAGAGAGCTGAACAATCTATCTCTGGGATTTCCATGTGCAGGAAAGGGTAGATGCATGGAATTCTCAGTTTGGTTTGGAGACTCTTAAGCAGCGTCATGGGTTTCCGCTTGCGTCAGGCACCCGGTTGACCGAAAAACAATGCAAACGTACAATACAAATGGGAAGCACTTTGGAGACGTCTCAACCAAGGGATAAGGCGCTATATCACAAGCACGGATTATTATTCAATTTACATTTACAGCACCTTTCACTGTGGGAGGATGTCCCCAAGATGCTTACAAGTACACACAGAATGTATTTTAAAAAGGCGGGGATCGGTGGGGGCAGGGGGTTTTATTCCATCCGGATCCTTTGGTTCACGGATCCCGGTCAGCTAACAGCAGGCGATATTCACTCGGCAACTCTCCCTGAAGCGCGATGGAACTCTGCTTCCCGACGGAGGTAGCGGGACATCGGCAAAGAAAGAGACACGGCATCGGAGGACGCCAGCCTGCAGCTGCCCGGCACCGTCAATCATGGCACCCTGTATCGCCGGAGGCTAAACCCGTGCTCCCGTGGGTACCCACGACAGTCCACCTGGCTCCCAGACACGCTCACCCGCGCCTATAACTTCATACATCGTGCACGGGCGCAGCAGGTCTGAGTAGCTAACGATACCCGCGCTCAGCCAGTCCCTCGCTCTGGGCTGTGTAGCTAACGATACCCGCGCTCAGCCAGTCCCTCGCTCTGGGCTGTGTAGCTAACGATACCTGCGCTCAGCCTGTGCCAATCTCCCCAGACCAGGTGGAATCACAGAGCAGGGTTTGCTGCCCACCACCACCACCACAATGAATCAGCAAGAATGAGTTTTGAGTAAACGAACCAGGCCTCCAGTTACTGAGCACTGGCTACACCGGCTTCACACACACACATACACACACGGTGATGGAGGCATCCCATCACTGCGTGCTAAATAAATGGGCGCTGTGCAACACACGCATACATAGAGACAGAGAGACACACAGATACACACACACACACACACATATATATATAGAGAGAGAGAGAGAGAGAGATAAACACACAGACATAGACAGACACAAACAAACACATAGACAGTCACACGGACACGATACACACAAACAAACAGACACACAGACAGACGGACACACAGACAGAGATACAGACACACAGAAGACACACACGCGGTATGTATCTAAAATCACAAGTGTTAGCAGGAAATCAACTGGAGCTTGTGACGAAAAGGGAAAACGGCACACTGACTGCACACAAGCCTTTGCTAATCAGCAACGGTGCCAGGGCCTGCGAGGGACGCTCAACCTGCAGTGAAGGGGTTAAATAGATCACAGCTGAGAGCAGCTATACCCAGTTACAACCAGCTTGCTCGCTGGCACCGAGCAGAGACCAAGGGCTGCATATGTTAGGATTTCAGTTCAGGTCCACAACCCTGAGCCACAGTCAGCTTTCAGCCCAAACCCAGCCAGAACTTCCTGTTACAGTCCTTCAGTGCCAGTCTCTGGTTCCAGAAACGTTGTTCTAGAGAGCCAGAGAACGAGAGCGAGTGAGAGGGAACGAAAGCGAGAGAGAGAGAGAGAGAGAGAGGGTGACATACACACAGAATGAGTGACAGTAAGAGAAAGGAGAAACACACTGCGCTGATCGCTTACTTTCACAAACAAACAATAACTTGCGCTTATTCAACGTCTTTCATCAACAACAACAAATTACATTTGTGTAGCGCCTTTCACGTAGGGAGCCTGCCTCGAAGCAGCTTACAAAGACTGAATGAGCGAGGGGAGGGTGGGGTAGCAGGCACGGTTTAGCGGGCAAGGGAGAGAAGGGGGGGGTGGGGGGGGGGGGGGAGTCATGCCCCAAACGATCAACAATCTACGACGTCCAAAGCACCTAAAGGAAATCACGAGCCAGACACAATTACTGATGTACAACACAAAGCTTTACATCAATCGCCGTGCCTGGAAAAGCTGAAGCCGTGTACAGTTAGATAACCTTACCTCAATTGTATTAGCCATTTACATCATTATTTATACGATTTATATTGATATATTTACATTGGCGTTCGCCTAAAAAATACTCAGCTATTGCACTCCACAGGAAACCCTGTGCTGTGCTGTTGGGACCTGAAGTGAAAGGCTCTGTGTTAAATGTGAGGATTATTCTCATTCATAATAATCACTGTACTATTAGTGTTTACAGTCGATGCATTTTACAATACATTCTGTGAAGCGCTTTGACACGTCTCGACGGCGTGATAAGGAGCTATATCAAATGCAGGGATTGTTATTATGGTGCCCATGGAACGAAGAGGGTGTGTTATTTGCAATACTGAATGCAAGGTGAAAGCAATCTAGCGCTCGAGGGGTTAAAGCACAGCGCCCTCTCCCTCTCTCCCTCTCTCTCCCTCCTTCCCTCAATATTCTCGTCAATTCACTGCTGGGAGCTTCACACAGTCAATGCTGATCTTGAAACGTCTTGAGTTGCTGTGCTCAGCTCTTTCTCAAAGGTAGGCACACACGCACGGGCAGGATCACAGAGCGACACCAGAGGAGAGCGAGACGAGAGAAAATATAGGTGTCTCTCTTTCCATTCCCCCACCCCTCCCCTCTTCGCAACGGTGAATGGAACCTACCTCTCTCTCTCTCTCTCTCTCTACCTCCAGTTAGCATCTGAGTCCTAGCATCTGAACATCTCGTCACCAGCACAATTTATCCACCCCAGCCAGGCACCTGCTTTCACACAGAAACCTTGCGCTGCAGGCTACTGGGTATCAGTTGGGGGGAGAGAGAGAGAGAGAGAGAGAGAGAGAGAGACAGAAAGGGGGAGAGAGAGAGAGCGAGGAAGGGAGACCGAGAGAGCAAAAGGGAGAGGGAAAAGAGAGAAGGAAAAACAAATCAGTCTGAGGTGAGTGAAACGGATAAAGGATTTCTCTCCATCTACCTTTTTATCCTTCAACGTTAAAAAATCATTCAGCTCCGAAACCCCTCCAAGGACAGTAAGGGGGTGGGGGGCGGGGGGGGGGGGGGTCAGTGTATGTAGCCAGGGTAAGGCTGGAAAGACATCATCTGTGTGTATACGCGCGCGCGCGCACAAACATATATGTGTACACACGCAAATGCAAACAAACATGAAAAACACACACACACCACACGCAAACGCACACACGCACACGCACACACACACATACGCACGCACGCTTGGCTCTTGCTCACCTGGGTATCGTGTGTCCTCACAGCTGGGAGCTCACTGGGCTCCCCCACATGTTGTGTGACTTGAGCAGCCTGTTATTTACTGAGAACGCCCTCCGCCCAGGGCTCTCGCCAAACCATCGCCGGCAGCTGTGCTGATCTGCTCTCTGCGGCTCAGCCTCCACATTATACTTCATGTGTCGCTGCTTCGGCAGAGAGCGCTGCGCACTCATAGGCTGCCGCCCACAGCCGGAAATGTCAACACTCGAACAGCATCAGAGCTGCTTTTTATAATGAAGAGAGAGAGAGAGAGAGCTGGTGCAGAGAGAGTCAGCTCTCTCACACACACACACACACACACACACATGCTCCTCTCTCTCTCTCTCTCTCTCACACACACACACACACACATGCTCTCTCTCTCTCTCTCACACATACACGCGCACACTCATGCTCTCATGCACACACATGCTGGCGCACACGCACACTCTCGCCTCTCACACACACACACACACGCTCTTGCACTCATGCTCACATCATATGCACACGCACTCTTACACACATGTTCTCACGCGCACACTCACCTTCCTCTTGCACACTTGTGCGCACGTGAAGGGGCGCGCACACGCACCCACCCACACGCTCTCACGCGCACTCCCACATACATGCTCGCACTCACGCACACACGCACTCACGCACGCACGCACGCGCGTGCTCGCTCTTGCACGCACAGGTTTGCTCGCAGCCGGCTGGAATACCGAGTGGCGCTCTCTGTTTCCTATTTTCTCCGCCCTGAGAGAAGCGTCTCAAAGTTCTCAGAAGAACACGGGTGGGTCAGAGATCGTTCTTTTTCCCTCCACACGCAGGGCCATGCGGGCATGTACGCATGCATGCACAGACACGCACGCACGCACGCTTGTATACACACGCACGTAAAACCAAGAGAGAGAGAGAGAGAGCGAGAGAGAGGGGTAATGTCCTCCACAATCTCAACGTGATGTGTAAAAACATGGCGGGAAGGGATGCAAGCAGTTGTTAGGAGCAGTCACTATCTGGGTTATAATAACCTTACAGAGAGTAATAATACACAGCGCCAGTGCAGACATACAGATACAGTCAGTGCAACATAAACTAGCATGTGTAACACTCCCTGAGCCGGTATTACCGGCATGAATGATGCACTCACCAGCGATGTGCGACCAAATCAAGTGAGAGAGAGAGACCCTTCCGACCTCGACCCACACACTCGCACACATACTCAATATTACTTATAATATTGTAATACTGAGTGTGTAATAATAATTATAACGATAATACTTGCATTTGATATAGCACCTTATCACGTTATTGGGATCTCTCAAAGAGCTTCACAGGATACACTGTAAAGTGAATGGACTGTATATTTTGTGAGCGAAATGTAATAAATAGTAAAGACCCAAATAAAGCCATTTAACCCTTCAAACATCGAGTCAGAGCAGCGTTTCTCCCCCATCGGCTGCTCGACAGTTTCTTGTGGATAGAAAGGGACCGGCGACGTTGCTGTTTTGTTGAGACAGGGAACCTTTCGCGCACACCACCACCCACCCCGCGCCCGCCCCCCCCCCCCCCCCCCATCACCTCCGCCTCGCCCCTGTTCTCCCGGTTTCTATTCATTCCTTTCCTAATCCGAATTTCCCTCCCCTCCCCCCCTTTCCCAGATCTCAGTGATTGTGTGCTCGTCTGCCTGGCTGTTGTTGGCGGAATGTCCATCACTGGCGCAGATGAGCTGCTGCGTTTGCCTGTGAAACGTTCAATTATATTTTCTAAAGCGCTTTCAAGGAGTTTATATTTACACCAGAGGCGACCGGCTGAATGCCACTCACTCACTATTGTACTCTTACAGTAAACGGGAGTGTAAAATTTGCTTGGTGTGTGTGTGTGTGTGTGGGGCACTGACATCCTTCCAAATCGATTAAAGACTCTCGTTGGATCCTAATTATTATTATTATTATTGGTGATAATATTAATTGCTGCATTTGGCACACAGGGCCTTTGATGTCCGAAGAACGTCTCAAAGCTCTTCACAGGACGCGCTGCGAAGTCTGGCGACTGTGTGTTTTGTTATCGAACGCGCCAGTCAATTTGTGCACTTGCGACGTCCCCACAAACAGCCGTGAAGTCAATGAGCGCTCCCAGACGCTACCCGGTGTGAAGGGAGTTGTATAAATGCACATTTGTATTGCTTTTGTACATAAGATAGCACATTGTTACCACATATCTCGGGACATGACCCTCTGAACTCGCTCTCGCGGGAATAAAGAAATGATTTATACACCGTGTGTAAAGGAGAGTACAGATTCCTGCAGTTATGCAACAGTCAAATCTTTCTGTGCTCCGTTCATTACATCATTATTAAAGACGCCTATAATGCCCTCGACGCATGTTTACCCATGGCGCATAATACACACGGGTTCACCCATGGCGCGTAATTGACCCCACAGCACTCCCGTTCTTTTACAAGTTGTTCACTCTTGCAATGACCGAAATGACTTAATTGCGTAAAAATAAAAGTGACACACCAGTTAACTGCTTAACGGTAATTCTGAGTGCCCACGCTCTCGTCCACAAAACACACAGTCACTACACTTCACAACGTCTTCCGTGAAGATCTTAAGAGGCGTCCTCCCGCGATGAAAGGCACTGGATCAGACTCGAGCATTATGTTTGTGCTTTTGTTATTGTACGGTTCCTGGGAGCAAGGATTACCAGCGCTGCCCTGTGAAACCCTGTGGAACTCATCTCCCAATTAAACAACAACAACAAATTACATTTGTACAGCGTCTCTCACATCGGGAGGAGGAGAAACACAGGAGCAAAGGTGAGTTCACGCTGTCAATGGAACGAAAAGTAAAGAGCTGTTTCATATCGATCTTCTGTCACTGAATATCTGCCACCATTGCCATGATACACAATCGCGATACAGACACCCAGTGGCTAAATGTCATTACTGTGCCCAGTGCATCGTATCCGCAGTTTATTGCTCTCTTTACTGCCAATTGTAGTGACTGTCAATTTTGTACAACAACCTGCATTTCCGCAGCACCCCTTCACGCAGGATAATGTCCTCAGAGCGCCTCACAGAGGTGGGCTCGGACAGGAAGGAGCAGGTGAGCACAGGCGCAGTCAAAAAGGTAAGTTTTAAAGTGGGATTTGCAGAGAGATCTATACACAAACGCTTTCTGGATCTCCACTGAAATCGCCACCAGGTTACTATCTGATCCTCCTTGTGAAATTACTGATACATACACATACACACACACAAGCCACGCGCGCGCACACACACACACACAAGCCACGAGCGCACTCACACAGACATGCACACATTCACTACTCTCTGCGAAAAGGATTAAATCTCTTCTGAATTCGAGTCTGTATCTCCAGGTTCTAGATTTTCAACCAGTCATACACAACGCCAGAGCTTCGGTTTGCTTCTCGCCTTTAGTATTCAGCAGTTTGAGATGTCTTCCCGACGTGAAAAGTGCAGTGTGAACAGAAATTGGGTTGTATTTTGACAATTTCAATACAATCAGCTGCAAGTCTCCGGGTCGTTGTGAATATTCTGTACATCTATTTGTAATTCCGACCCTCAGCCGCTTCGCACCTACACCGACCCCTTTTCCCAATCCCAAGACATCCTGACTGGGAATACGGAAACATCTGTGGAGTCATGTAGCTCAGTAGTTAGAGCACTCGCCTCACAAGCGAGAGGGCTTGGGTTGGATTCCCGGGCAGGGCAAACGTTGGGCAAGTTCCCTTACTCCACACGTCCCTGCTTACCTAGCAGTAAGAAGGAACCCGGTTATCAGTCAATTGGTGGATCGCTTTTCCGGGGATAATAATCGCATCAAGATTAAAAAAAAATTAAAAAATGACAATTTGTTCACTCAATCCACGGCTGTTTGTGGGGACGCTGCTGTGCGCAATTGGCTGCCGGGTTTTGCCCACAAAATACACAGTCAATTCCACTTTACGGTATATACTGTGAAGCGCTTCGAGACGTCTCGAAGACGTGGTAAGACGCAGTATCAAATGCAAGGATTATTATATTGTAAACCCTCGTCGACTGGTTTCCGTTCGAAACGGATGCTTTAAAAAAAAAAGCAAAAATTGCACGTTCGCGTCAGAGAAGCGAGAGTGACAAGAACATCAGAAACCGAGAGAAATGAAATAAATCCTGTAAGTATTGAAAGTCCGTCCACAGCAAGTAAGAGGCACAGAGCCCGTAAGGTAGTATAGTAATAATAATACTTGCATTTGATATAGCGCCTTATCGCGACTTCGAAACGTCTCAAAACGCTTCACAGAATACACTGCAAAGGAGAACGGGGAGAGCGAACGTACATTAAGCCTCCCCTCCCCCCCGCCAACGCCCCACCCTACCTCCTACCCTTCCCCAAGAATGGTATATTTCACATACAGATGTAGGGGAATAACCTGCCATGGATCACTTCGGAAACAAAGATTACTATCTTTCTCGTGAGACTCGCTGGCAAACAGGAAAGCGCGTTCATTCTGAAAGTGCGTTCATTCTGAAAGTGCGTTCATTCAGAATGAACGCACTTTCCTGTTTGCCAGCGAGTCTTGCAGGAGCTGGAGTCAAACTCACCACGTGTATGAAACACCCGCTTCGCAGGCAATTCGAGGCAGGAGCCAATGAAACTCGGGGACGCTGCCCGCAAACTCGCTTCAGACCAGGCGGGGCTGCCCCCATCCTCTGAGCTGCGAGTCCCCAGGAGAGAAAGAGAGAGGCGCATTTCCTCATTACCGTCTCAACTGCGAGCGTATCCGGTCCACTTAATTGCTGAACAGTACAAGTCGAATGCTCCTCGCAAAACAGCTGCCTGCTCAGGTGCACACTGAATACCCCACGACACTCTATGTGTCAAACGAGGAGGAGGTTTCGCTCTCCCTCGGCAGCTTGGCCGACAAGTGGAGTCCTGTAGCTCAGTGCTTAGCGGGCTCGCTTCACAAGCGAAAGGACCTGGGTTCAATCCCGGGCGGAGCGAAATCCTAGACAACTTTCCTTACTCCACACGCCTGTTTAACAGTAAGTAAACCCGATCGTGAGTCGATTTGCGATTGCTTTCTGAGGATAGTAATCCC